AAGATAAATGGAAAAGTGTCCTCAGGTGAGGATTTTTAAAAAAACAAACAAAATAAATGTCACCACCCTGGCCCGTTTGGCTTAGCGGTTAGAGTGATTCCTAGTCAAGGGCACGTACCTAGGTTGCAGGTTCGATCCCCAGCCCTGGTCAAGGTCATACAGGAGGCAGTCAATTGATGTGTCTCTCTCACATTGGTGTTTCTCTCTCTCTCCCCCTCCCTTCCTTCCACTCTATCTAAAAATTAATGGAAAAATATCCTTAGGTGAGGATTTAAAAAGAAAATAATGTCACCACCAGCAGGCATAGCAAAGTAATTTGTTGTTGTTAAGTCTCGCCTGAGGATATTTTTCCATTGATTTTTTAAAATTTTTTTAGAGTAAGAGGGGAGGAGAGAGAGAGAGAGAAGCATCGATGTGAGAGAGACACATCAACTGGTTGCCTCCCACACGCCTGATCCGGCCCTGGGATCAAGCCTGCAACCCAGGTATGTGCCCTTGACCAGCAGTTGAACCGAAGACCCTTCAGCGCTCGGGCCAACACTCTAACCATTGAGCCACACTGGCCAGGGCAGCAAGATCACTTTGAACATCAGTTTTGTTGTCTGACTAGTCGCCTAGATCACCTGGCTTTGGGTGTCTGTGGATTGGATTCGCAGCCTCGTCCGGCCTCACCTGTGCCGGAACCAAATGGTGCCCCAAATCAGGCCCAACAGCTAGTTACTGGAGCTGCTGCCTGGGGCTGGCTGTGATCTGCTGGTCTGCCCTCCCTCCTCCCTCCTTCCTCCGTCCCTCCTCCCTCCCTCCTCCCTCCAGCAACCCTTTCCTGGGCACACTACGCCGGGATCGGGCAGGGACACACCAGGGCTTGCTTCCGTGTCACGGGCGATGCAGGGGGCCTGGGTGCTGGACCGTGCTGACGGGGCATCTGGCAGGAGCTCGCCCAGCCCCGTCTCCCTGGCACACTCTGGGTCCCGCAGTATAATTGGTAACAGTGGAGTCCCCTGTAGACTCTGCCAGCATTTCAGGCAGACGGGGCAGAATCCCCGTTCAAAGGGGCTGCCTCTGAGTTCTTCATTTGTTCCTCCGTTCTTTTTCTTTAATTCTTACCCGAGGATACTTTCTTCCATTTTTATCTTCAGATAGAGTGGGAAGGAAGGGGGGAGAGAGAAACATCGGTGTGAGAGAGACGTATCAACTGTTTGCCTCCCGCACGACCCTGACCAGGGCCAGGGACAGAACTGCAACCGAGGTACGTGCCCTTGACTGGAATCCAAGCCGAGACTCTGGTCCGCGGGCCGATGCTCTAACCGCTGACCCACACCGGCCAGACGCCTCCTCCATTCTTAATAGCTGCTGCCTTTCAGGAAGACAGAGAAGGGGCCCATCATACTGACTGCGTTCCAGACATTGATTCTGATTCCAACTGTCTCCTCCTTTTCCGCCTCCTTCCCCTCCTTCCTGCCCCACCAGACCTGAGTTGGTGACCGCATGTGGTGGCCTGAGCTGGCAGCACTGGGTCCATGACCTTCCACCTGCACACCAGCCTCACTGCCACCCCGCCTCTCCCCATGGTCTCGGACTCCCTTTTCCGTAACCATACCGCAGTCAGGAATGCCACTTGGGGTCTCAGTCTCGCAGGTCCTGGATGGAGAGGCTGTGCCGCGTGGCCTCTGGGACCCTGTGGTTGTGGGCTGGTCCCCACTCTTCCCTGAGCGAGTTCTGAGCCTTTGGACACGTGCGTGCCTCTGGTTCCCGCCTTGACAAAGGGGACAGTGCTGTGCCCGCCCAGAGGCTGCTGGGAGGGTCAGCTGCCTTCGTTCCCCTTGGTTCGGTGTGTGACGAGAGCCCACTGTGGAGCAGGCGCTCGGGACACGTCCCGGAAGGAAACAAGGCACAGGCACGACCTCCCAGCCCGAGGAGGCCACCGTGCGCCTGGCCTGTGCCTCCGGGGCCTCAGCAAACGCCGCCGAGGGCGTCACGGCTTCTCCAGTCCTGGGCGAGGGGCTTAGTCGGCGGACCCCTTATGGGGTGGAAGGGGCAGGAGCCCTGTCGTGGGCTTAGGCAAGGCTGCCGTGTTCACTTCCAGTTACTTAGCCCAACAGAGACCCCGAAACGCAGATCGAGGCCCTCGTCCTGGCCCTGGGAGCACGGAGCTGCTTGAAGCCGGTGGTCACCCTGCCCGGCTCAGCCGCCCAGCCTCCACCGCCTGGGGATACACCTGGCTCCCCTGGTTCTTTCCTCTCAGAAGACGTCTCCCCAGCATTTCAGTGCACCCTGAGAGCTGACCTCCGTGTGACCTCGAGCTGGCAGTTTGAGGGGCGGGGACGCTGACACCTTCCCGCACACGGGCAGGACTCGCTGGTCCTGTGGCCCCTCCCATCGTGCCATCATTAGCAGTGTCTCGGTGAGGGAAGTCGTCCTGATAACAGCATGATTAAAGACAGACAAACTCAAGAACACTAATTTAAGCCCTGGCTGGTGTGCTCAGCTGGTTGGAGCGTTGTCCCGTACACTGAAAGGTAGCGGGTTCGAGTCCTGGTCAGGCAGGGCACATGCCCAGGTGGCAGTTTCCATCCCCAGTCGGGCGCGAGCAGGAGGCAACTCATCAGTGTTTCTCTCTCTCTCTCTCTCTCTCTCTCTCTCCCTCTTCTTTCCTCTCTCTCTAAAAATCTATTAAAAAATAAAAAAACAACACTAAAAGAACATACCTTTTTATTCTAGAAATGCTCAAATATGCAGATGAAGGGAGAGAAGACAGTGCCCCCCCCCCCCCACGGAGTTGTGCCTCAGCTTTGCGGGAGGTCGGGGCGGGAGGTCGGGGCGCCCAGGAGCTTCTGTTCTGTTACATTGTACTTTGTTTTCCCCACACAGTGAAGAGAGTTCTAACTAGCTCTAAAAATCAGTAGATTCCTCACAAACATGCAGATTCTAGGCCGGTAGGTCGATCCCTCATCCCTGGGGGGCAGTACGCAGGGCCCCCAGCCTCCTGCTCACCTGGCCCTACAGGCATTTGTGTCTGTGAGCCTCTCCTGAGCTGGGTTCCCTGGGAGCCTGGCTTTCTCGAGTGGGGTGGGGTCTGGTTTTCTGCCTCTGGATTTTGAGACATCGTTCTGTATCTTGGGGTGAGTGCACCTGACCTTCTAGGACCTCCGGTCGCTTAGGTGGGTCGGTGTCACTGCTGCTTTTGTGAGTTGAATGGTTGCACACTGCACCTTCATGTAGTTCGACTTAACCATATGGCTTAAGTTTAAGTACGAAGTAACTGTAATACTGTGTTGTGTGGGGGCAAGATTAGGGGCTGGGAATCGGGAATCCATCAAATAAAGGGGGGGTCAAAGCACAGGTGTGCGGACTGGCATTTTGAAGACACGTTGGCCTTCCGTGAGCCCCCCAGGTCATGTTTGTTTTGTAGACCGGCTTCACTGAGACAGGATTCACACGCCTGACGGTTCACCCGTGACAGGCCTTCGCTTTTCAGTGGATCGGAGTACGCCACCATCAGCACAGTCCAGAGAGAAACTCCGCACCCACGAGCAGGCTCTCCCCACCCCCGAGGCCCCCAGCCCCTGGCAATCCCTCGTGTACTTTCTGGCTCTGGATCTGCGGATCCCCCTGGTGATCCCTCGTGTACTTTCCGGCTCTGGATCTGCGGATCCCCCTGGTGATCCCTCGTGTACTTTCCGGCTCTGGATCTGCGGATCCCCCTGGTGATCCCTCGTGTACTTTCCGGCTCTGGATCTGTGGATCCCCCTGGTGATCCCTCGTGTACTTTCCGGCTCTGGATCTGCGGATCCCCCTGGTGATCCCTCGTGTACTTTCCGGCTCTGGATCTGCGGATCCCCCTGGTGATCCCTCGTGTACTTTCCGGCTCTGGATCTGCGGATCCCCCTGGTGATCCCTCGTGTACTTTCCGGCTCTGGATCTGTGGATCCCCCTGGTGATCCCTCGTGTACTTTCCGGCTCTGGATCTGCGGATCCCCCTGGTGATCCCTCGTGTACTTTCCGGCTCTGCATCTGCCTGTTCTGACGTTTTGCGTAAATGGAATCAGACAACGTCTGGCCTTTGTCTGGCTTCTTTCACTCGTGCACTGTGTTCAGGGCTCACGTCAGTGCTGTTTCGTTGTATCGCCAAGCGACGTTCCGCTGTGTGGAGTGGCCTCGTTCCTTTGTCCACTCGTCAGTTGGTGGACCTTGGGGTTGTCCCCCCCTCTGGCTGTTGTGGGTGATGCTGCCTGAAGTCTGCATACAGGTGTGTGCACGGGCTCAGTTCTCTGGGGCTGTGCCCAGGAGTGGGGTCACGGCGTCCCGTGGCAGCTCCCCTTCAGCCTGTTGTGAGACTCCCACCTGCTTCCCAGGTGGCTCAGCGGCACCATCTTCCACCCCCAGCAGCAGCGCCCCGGGGTTAGGTTCCGCCACGTTCTCGTGCGCACTCGGTATCTGACTTTGGTGCAGCTACCGAGTAAGGAGACTTGCCTGGCAGGGTAAGCTCTCTGCAGAGGTTAGGGAGAAGGATGGTCACTTAGTTAGTGGCCTAGAACATCAGCCGGGGTCGTTTTCAGAGGCTCCCGAGGAAGCCAGATTGACATCTGCTTCAGTGCCCGGGCCTGCACCCCTGTCCCGCATCCTGTTCCCCAGCACTGTGCAGCCCCCACTGATGGTATCAGGAGGGCTTCTTTTTGTTTTTATTCCTCACCTGAGGATATTTTTCTACTTATTATCAGCTAGAGTGGGAGGGAGGGGAAAGACAGAGAAACATTGATGTGATAGAGCCACATTGACTGGTTGCCTCCTGCACGACCCAACCAGGGCTGGGGACGAACCACAACTGAGGCACGTGCCCTTGGCCGGAATCCAACCTGCGACTCGGTCTGCGGGCTGGCGCCCTAACCACTGAGCCAAACTGGCCAGGGCGAGGGCTTTCTTTTTCATGCCTTGTTCCCAGGGTGGGAAATAGTCCCCCTCCCCCAATCTCATCTGCCTCGTGCCTCTTTTCTGCACAGGTGTCACCATGAAGCTCATGGATGAGGTGGCCGGGATCGTGGCCGCTCGTCACTGCAAGACCAACATAGTCACAGCTTCTGTGGACGCCATCAACTTCCACGACAAGATCAGAAAAGGTAACGCACTCTGCCGGCGACAGAAGGGCAGTGCCTGGGCTGCTCGGGCCCCTCTAGCGTTTGCTTCCGCCTCGCCCAGAGTCGCCTGGGCCCTGGCGCCTGCCCGTTTGCCACGAGAAGCAGGAAGCCGGAGTCCTGTGCTCTGTCCTGTGGACGTCCCTGAGCCCAGGGTTCGCTGGTACAGCGTCAGTCTGGTGAAATCTCTCGCTCCAACATGATTGGAGCCTTTGTCCTGCTAAGGAGTGGCATAAACTTACCTCTTAAGATGCCCCATGAACGGAGTGAGCAGAGCCCCGCAGACCGTTGCCGCCAGTCTTGAGGCGCACACTTGCTCTCGGGGGGCGGGGGGCGTCTGGTGTAAGCTGCAGCAGGGTTGGCACAGAGGAGCCCACCCACAGCCCTGCCCCCGCGCGGCTCCTCCTCCCACGTCCTGTGCTCCTCTCTGGTGTGCAGAGGCTGCTGAGCCTGGGGGGCCCTGGGGCTCCGACGACGACGGGAGACGGAGATGGGCACGTCCGCTGTTCCGCTCTGACTGACTGAGGCGAATCTGCTGGGATCAGGTTAAACCTGCGGGACTGGAGGGCGCGGCTGCCCTCCTGGGCCCCAGCCTCCGGTCACCTGCGCTTGTGCTGTGCTGTGGCGGGACCAGGGCCAGGCTTGTGCCACCTGCGGCTGGGAGGCGGTGTTGCTGGGCCCCGGGACCGCTGCAGGCATGAAGCCCGGCACGTGTCCCCGCGAGAGCTGTGCGTGTGGGTCCCCAGGCCCTGTAACCAAGCACCGCAAGCTGGGGACTTACAGCAACGGGAACGGCCCCTCTCAGTTCTGGGGCAGAAGTCAGAGTGAAGGGGTCCAGGGGCTGCCTCCTCCAAGGGCTCGAGGGAAGATCTTTCTTGTCTCCAGCTGCTGGGGGCTCCAGGCATCCCTTGGTTTGTGGCCTCATCACCCCAACCTCTGCCTCCATCTGCATGGGCTTCCTCCCCCCCTCCCCTCCCCTTCCGTTCTCCTAAGGACATCTCACAGGGTGGGGCCACCTGGACAAGCCAGGGAGCTCCTCTCGACCCTTAGCTCAGCGACAGCTGCAGGGACCTTTTCAGATAAGGTCACATTCCGAGGCTCTGACTGCAGTCACCTTTGGGGCACCAGTGAGCCCACAACAAATGCCTTCCCTCCTTACAGCTTAACCCTGTGGGCAGAACAAGCTCACCTTCTCTGCAGAATCATGAGGTTGGCGATGTGTCTTCCGTGCCTCTGCCCCTCCCTTGTAGGAGCCCTCAGTCGGGTCAGGGCCCGGCCCAGGGGAGTGGCCCAGCTTTGAGAGACGCCGTCCTACAGCCGGGGACGTGGCCCAGGGACGTGGCTACAGAGGGCCTCCCTAAGGCAAAATTCAGGGCCATGTGCTCGCCCGCAGGGGCACTGACGAAGGACCAGTGACTTCGTGTGGTGGGAGACGGGCTGGGCCCCTGAAACGAGGAGGGAAAGCAGTGTGTGGGCAGGGGCAGCGCCTCTGCTGGGCGAGGAGCTAGCTCCTCCCGGAGTCAGCGTGAAGCCTCATCAGCACGAAGACTGTTTCTTGAGTAATGATGTTTTCGTGGACAAAAGTGTCGGCACGTGGTCCCAGGCACGCAAGGCAGACTGAGCAGCCCGGAGCTCCTGGCCTGCTGGGGCCTGGGCATACTCCACCTTGTTTGCGAAATGCTTGCCCTGCACCCTGGTCGCAGCCCGGAAGGACCCTCCCTCCGCTGCCACGCCCGCCTGCGCCCGGGCGCCCCGTGGCTGCCGCGGCGGTCAGCACGCCTGCGCCCGTGCGCCCCGTGGCTGCTGCGGCGGTCAGCGCGCCTGCACCTGGGCGCCCCGTGGCTGCCGCGGCGGTCAGCACGCCTGCGCCCGCGCGCCCCGTGGCTGCCGCGGCGGTCAGCACGCCTGCCCCTGAGGGCCCCGTGGCTGCTGCGGCGGTCAGCACGCCTGCGCCTGCCGAGATCTGGGGCAGAACCGTGTCCTTGCCTATCCACTGGAGGCGCCCACACCCCTGGGCTCCTGCCCCTTGCTGCAGCCTCTGCCCTTGTCGCCCTGTGTGCTCACTGCGGCCTCCTCCCTCCTACCAGGGCCCCGTGAGGACCTTGGGCCGCCTGGTGATCCGGGATCACCTCCCATCTCGAGGTCCGTAGCTCAGCCCCATCTGCTGAGCCCACGGCTCCCTGGAGTAGGACCTGGGCATCTTCGGGGACCCCCTTCTGACGGCCGTAGGTGGTGACTTAGCGATGGAATGTGACTGTCTTGCAGCCGTTCCGCCTGCTTCCCGGAGGAGCAGCTGGAGTAGGTAGGAAGTCAGACCTCGGGGTGCCCGTGTCTTCAGATGTGAGGGGTGCCTCTGGCGAAACGTATCACCCCGAAGTGCCGTCCTTCGGATGCCACCAGCCACGTGCTGTGGCCTCACCTTTTGTACAGGTCACTTGTTCCCTTTCTGATTTTTGGTTTTGAGCTGAGACATTAAAATGCCAAGGCAGCTGTTGAAAGTTGGAGGGAGGAGAGAGGCCCGTTTGATGTGAGGGGGGTGGCAGCCTTGGGAGGGAGGCAGCATTGAGGCTTTGTGGGGGCGCGGCCCCCGAGGGCTGGGGACAAGGCGTCTTCCAGAAGGCCGGCCGGGCAGGACCAGGGCCGGGCAGGGCCAGGGCCGGGCAGGGCCAGGGCCGCGCAGGGCCAGGGCCGGGCAGGGCCAGGGCCACGCAGGACCAGGGCCACGCAGGACCAGGGCCACGCAGGACCAGGGCCGGGCAGGACCAGGGGCCGCGCAGGACCAGGGGCCGCGCAGGGCCAGGGCCGCGCAGGGCCAGGGCCGCGCAGGACCAGGGGCCGCGCAGGACCAGGGCCGGGCAGGACCAGGGCCGTCCACCACAGCTCCTCCCGAGTGGTAGTGCTGAGCTGCTCTCAGAGTCTGAGACCCTTGGCAACGTCTAGCCCTGGTGAGAGCAGGCTGCTGTCATTCTGTTCGCTCCTTCAAATCCCTGGCACACTGCTGAAGTCTGCCCATCTGCCGGGGGAGCCAGCAGGGCCGCTGCCAGCCCTCCTGGGCCGGCCTTGCGGGCAGCGCGCCAGTGGCGTAGAAACAGGTCAGCGGTGGTTCCGACGCAGCCACGCAGCTGCCTCCCGTTCCGCTCTCACGCTGACACTGCTCCGTCCAGGGCCGGCACGTGCTGAGTGGGACGGTGTCCCCTTCTTCTGATCTGAAAGCTGCCCGGAGGGGCACCCGGCAGTTGGCTTTGGGGCTAGAGCTCTGAGCCCGGCTCTGGTGCCTTCTCACCGCCAGGCGTGAACCACGCGGGCATCCACCTGGGGGCCCCAGCGTCAACCTCGGGGGTGATGAGCGTGACCCTCGTGGGTCCATCTTCAATGCTTGTGCTGGGCCACCCAAGTGTCAGCTGTCCCCACGCAGCTGTCTGGAGACTCGGGGTTTCCTGCTGCGTCCCCCTCATTGACCTTCAGACCCAGGACCCTTCTGCTGAACCCAGACAGTCCGGTCTCTGCCTGCAGGCTTCAAAGGAGACTCAGTTACATATGCCCTCTCGGTCGCCCTGCCGCGCTTTGAGGGCTCGTACCCACATGTGGCTGGCGGCTGCTGGCTGCTCCCTTCAGCGAACTTCCCACCCCAGGGTTCCGTTGGCAGGCTGGTCTCTGGACCGTGGGCACGGTGCCCAGTGTCCCCGTTTCCGGGCGTGGCGGCCCAGTATGGTGTGCTGGGTGGCCGTGCTCCAGGGGGACTCTCCTTCAGCCCCGTACGCCCTGCCAGGCGCTCTGTCGCAGCGACACTGCACCGTGACCACCTGAACCCGGTCAGACGCGGGCGCCGTGCCCTCCCATGACGGCCTCTGCCCGGGGTGCAGCAGGGCCCTCAGATCCACCCGCCTGGGCCGGCTCGCTCGCGGCTCTGTGCGCGTGTGCGACAGGCACACGCTGTGGGTCCGACTCCCAGCTCAGGAGCCAGTCGGAGCCAGTGAGAGGCCGACGGGAGTCACAGAACATGATACAAGCCTGTCCTTCCGTCTCGGGTGGATGCTTTTGTGACAAGCACCTGCAAGGACTGACTTCTGGGCCCTTGACGGAGCGAGTTAATGACGTTGACACGCGTCACCAAGCATCCTTTCCATCGCGGGGCGTGGCTGGCCGCGGGGAGCCTGGCCCCACCCCGGGAGCCCTTCGTCCTGGGCTGGCTGCTCGAACGACCTGAGACGGAAATGCCGAGGTCCCTGCTCTCAGAGCGCCGTGGAGTGCTGTGCTCCTGAGTGACTTCGCTACGCCAGAGTGTGACAGCCCAGAAAACCAGGAGCCGCCTGAAGTTCTCCAGTGTGGCTGCCACCAAGATGGCCCCCTGGCTGCCGTAGCGCTGACCGGAATGCTCAAGGCCCACACAGCTCACGTGTCGGCTCCAGGTCTGCGGGCCAGAAGGCCCGGGCCTCGGGCTCAGGTCCAGGCGCGCAGGCTGGCTCCTGCCGGAGGCCCCAGGCCAGGACCGTATCTGCCTCTCCAGCTCCTGGAGGCCCCACTGCCTCGCTGTGGCCCTTTCCCAGCAGCTCCCTGACCCTGCCTCCTGCTTCCTCGTCCACTCGGGGGGACCTTGTGATGACACGGGGCCCCCTGGATAGTCCAGGCTGATCCCCCGCCTCACGGTCCTCAGCCGAACCTCACATGGCAAGTCTCTGCCCCGTCAGGGCACAAGCTCACAGGTTTGAGTCAGGACGTGGCCTCCTCGGGGACTGTGGTCCCACCTGCTGCTAGGCAGGCAGTTGCCCCTGACGCCATTTCTGAGCTCTGCCTTTACCCACCCTGTGCTCTTGGGAGGGGAGAGTCGGGGTCGTCCCCGAGGGTCCCCCAGTGCCCGTGCCGCTGCCCTGTCAGGCTGCCCTCAGGCCCGCCCGCACCTCTCGCCCACGACTGAGACCCGGGGAGCACAGGCCGGGAGGGGCAAGCCCTTCACGAGCGGAAACCGCAGGAGTTCCGGGCCAGGGGCCACCGCAGGGCCCTGCTGGCGAGCGGCCAGTGCAGGGGCCGCACCTCGGCTCCCGCCCCGTGTCAGCACCCCCAGACTCCTGCGTTCCATGATGAGTTTCCAGGTCAGAAACCCAGAGAAACGCCTAACTCTGATCACAAACTAGTTCAACAACAAGCTAGGGGCACCGTGAGCGTTAGAATGAGAACTCGCAGAACTCGCTCAGGATTCCTGGTCAGCGATGTGGTAGTGACTGCGGTGCAGGCGGCGCTGGAAACACCGGGGGCACTTTGTAAAGTGTGTGATGGTCTAACCCCCTGCTGCACGCCTGGAACCCAGAGAAAATAACATTGAATGTCGACTGTCGCTGAACGAGAATGCTCTCGCGTGCCGCTTATGGTACAGAATACGATGATTTCCTCCTGAAAGTCAGAGAAAATAACATTGAATGTCGACTGTCGCTGAACGAGAATGCTCTCGCGTGCCGCTTACGGTACAGAATACGATGATTTCCTCCTGAAAGTCAGAGAAAATAACATTGAATGTCGACTGTCGCTGAACGAGAATGCTCTCGCGTGCCGCTTACGGTACAGAATACGATGATTTCCTCCTGAAAGTCAGAGAAAATCTCAGCCGCGGCCCTGACCCAGCCTCTCTGCCCTCAGAGATGGGGCCCTTATCCCAGCGCTCACAGGCTTGGGCACTGGGCTTGGGCTCCGGCAGGGGCTGGGTCCTCACTGACAAGTCCCAGCTCTGACTGTTACCAGGAGACCCCAAGGTGTGCCCTGGATGCTTTGCGTGCGGCTCTGTGCCCTGGTCACCCACACGATGCCACTTGTCATTGACCACGTGGCCTTCCTTCCCCCGAAATGGCTGTCTGACCCGTGCTCCCTGTAAGTATGAAGCTGGTGTGGCGTGGCTCGCTCTGTGACTAACACGCAGTGACTGCCCCCGCTTACCACCTGCCCACACACCCTAACAGCCACCGTGTTGCCCGGCTAGTCTGTCTTCCAGGGTCGCTAGACACGCCTGTGGGCCTTCTGCATGGTGCTGCGACACGGGGGCTCCCGGGGGTGTTGAAATGTCCCTGCAGCCAGCACTGCTTTCGGGGAGCGGGGCCCAGCATCTGTGCCGGGCCCGGAGTGAGGCCGTGCTGGCGGGGGGTCTGGCCGCGTGCCCGGGTGGAGGCACACCCAGTACCAGCCCTGCCCCTGGAAGGCCAGAGGGTCCCTGCCGCCTCGGGGCCAGAGCACCGCGCCTCCCGCCACCAGGCACCCAGCTCAGCGCCTGGCCCATTTTATGCCAGCCCCATGGTGACTCCATGGGGTTAAGAGATTAAGTTTCGGGAAGAGCTCATGGCCTGGAGGGTGAAGGGCAGAGAGAGGCTCTAGATCAAGAAGTAACTGCCAAGGTGCATATTCCTGAGCACATGACTCTACTTATTTATTTACATCCTCACTCAGAATACTTTTCCATTGATATTTTTAGATAGAGTGGGAGGGAGAGAGGGAGGAGAGAGAGAGAGAGAGAGAGATCATTGTGAGAGAGACACATCGATTGGTTGCCTCCCGCATGACCCTGACCAGGGCCAGGGATCGAACCTGCAACCGGGGTACGTGCCCTTGACCAAGAATCAAACCCGAGACTCTGGTCCACAGGTTGATGCTCTAACGCTGAGCCACACCGGCCAGGCTGCACATGTGACCTGAGACTTGGACAGAATCTACAAGGGGGACTTCGGGGAGGTGGTGAGCACCTGCAGCCTCTGACCAAGGACAGGGCGAGGTGTGTCTTAGGAAGGCAGGTGTCCGCCGTTCAGAAGAGGGCCTGGCGAGGTCCTGCCTGGACACGGGTGGCTGGTCTGCCCGGGCTGGATGGCTCAGGGACCCAGGACCACAGCCAGGGTGGCAGCTTGGCCCGGCCAGACCACATGAGCCCTTCAGACCGCAGGAACGCTGCAGCCAGGGAGCTGGAAGGGCCTGGAAGAGAGAGGAGGCTCTTTAGTGGCACTCAGAGCAGTGCGGTGGGGCAGCTGTGTGGCCCCAGTGGGCACAAGTCAGGACACAGCGTGGACAGTGCAGCTTGCAGGCTTGACCTTCACCTTGGGGGGTCGAGCCAGCTCCCACAGGCTCCTGCAGGCGGGTCGGGGGCTTGCCTTGAGGGCCAGGGGTACTGGGGCATTTTCCCAGCAGGCACTGCCATGCCCAGGGCAGGGGCAAGTGGTGGCCCAAGATCCCTTCAACTGACCTTCCATGAGCGATACACGTACGTCTGCTCACCGGAAAGATGGACGTGCGTGGGTCCTGACGTTTTCTTGTTTCAACGTCCTAGTTGCTAGTAAGGTGTCTGTGCTGCCTAACCAGGTGTCTTTGAACATTCTCCGCACCGCCGACAACCGCGCCCTCCCGCCAGCCCGGCCCTCGTGTCCTAACCCCTGTCCCTGCTCCCCAGGCTGTGTCATCACCATCTCTGGGCGCATGACCTTCACGAGCAACAAGTCCATGGAGATCGAGGTCCTGGTGGATGCTGACCCCGTGGTGGACAACTCGCAGGAGCGCTACCGGGCCGCCAGCGCCTTCTTCACCTACGTGTCGCTGAGCCAGGACGGCCGGTCGCTGCCGGTGCCCCAGCTCGTGGTGAGTGGCCCCCCCCCACTCACTGGCTCCCAGGGGAAGCTGGGTCACATGAGCCTGTTCTGGGCATCTGGGCCCCTGCCGAGCCACATCCTGAGCCAGGGACCTTGCTGTGGTGCCGCTCGGACGTGAGGCCCTCAGAGGCCCGAGGGGTGGGACGGAGCAGACAGCTGAGCCCCTTTATGAGGTCCTCGTCGCCGCACTTCCTCTGCGGTGAGCTCAGTGCCTGGGGTTCCTGCCACTGGACGGATCCCGGAGTGGGGGGAGGACCCTCCCCAGTGGGCTCCTGTGTGGACCCGACAGACCCCTGCACTGTGGGGCTGGTGTCCGGGCCTCGTGGCCTTTTCCTGCTTCAGCCGCCTGGCTGGGCTTTGCCCTGGTGTATAGTCGGCGAGCAGAGCTGAGGGCTCTGGCCCAGGGACAGATCCTGGGGGTCACAGCCCCCGTGGGGTTCATGCTCCGCCATCAGGGCTCCACACCTGAGGGCCCAGCGTCGAGGCGGCTGTGGGGCTCCCGATGTGGGTGTGGTGGGACGGCTGGGGGTGGCCTCACTCCGTGGTATTTGTCTGTAAACACAGCTGGGTTCACACAGCTCTCGGTGGTCTCCCTTCCTTGGGACAGCCCAGCCCATGCCAGCTGCCGACCCTCCGGTCCCCAGTGCTCGGGGCCACAGTCCCAGGAGACCGCCTAGGCTCCCCCCTCACAGCACCGGGATCTCTCTGGGTCCTGCCGCACTGAGCATACAGTCCAGCTCCCCGCCATCCAGAGCCCCCGCTGTCCCCGCGCAGGCCTCTGGCCCACCTTTGGGGCTGAATCATCGCCATGGTCTGGGCCTGATGTCAGCTCCTCAGAGATTTCCCGACCACCCTCCGGTCTCCTGCCGTGCTCCGCCGCCAGACTCCGGGTCGCTGGTCATCACCGATAGTCTGACCCCCCGGACCGAGCTCCGTGAGGCCGGAATGCCTTTGCTCCTAGGGGGTCAGTAGGACCCGGAACGGCCGTGGCACTTAGTGGGTGCGCCCTGGCAGATGCGCATCCTGCTGTGCGTAAGGCCTGGCCAAGGCGGGGAGGAGATGGCAGTGGGGGTGCTCCGAGGAGCGGGCAGTGTGCCTGGCAGGTGGCCAGGGTGAAGTGCTGCCCAGGAGTGGCAGGGCCCCCAGGAAAACTGGGGGGGCAGGGGCAGTGTTGAGAGGTCCAGGGAATCCTAACAACTTGGCGTGCTGGCCCCAGGGGAGCAGAGGCAGCCGGGGGTCCACCTGCTACTCCGGTCCTTCCCGGCGACTGCACCTGCTGAGACATCGCCTTGCCCTGCTTGGGGTTTGGGGCACCACTTCCTCTGTTGGTCTGGGAACACACTCTTGGGCTCCTCCGCTCCCTCCCAAAGTCTGCAGCCTCCCCTGGCTCCCTGTCAGAGCCCTGTTCCTCCCCACCCTGACCTTCTCCTGCAGGCCGGGGCCCCCAGCACCCCTCTCGTGCGCCAAGGGCCCTCCCTGGGCCTGTCCTGCCGCAGGGACAGGTGCCCATCTTACAGGCTGCTCCCTCCCTGACCCACCGCCAGCAGCCTTGGCAGACGGCCCCACCCCACCCACTCCTTGGCCAGTGCACTTGCAGTCCCCCGGCCTCGCCGACCTCGACCTTGGAGCCAGGTCTCTCTGGGTCTCGGACCATTTCTCAGAACCTTGCCTGCTCCCCTTGATGCAAGGTTGCCTGAGTTTTCTCCCAGACCCTCGTCCTATCTCATTCCTTGTCACAATGACCCTTGGGGGCTCCTGTTAGCGAGGCTGCCCCCCCCCAACACCTCCATCCTGCACGCTGAATTCCCGCTGCACACGGGAATCCTTGGCCTCTCTCCTCCCGGCCTCCCAGTCCTCCCGGCCTCCGGCTCTAGCAGGGTGGCCGGGTCCAAGGACACCCTCCGACTTTATCTCGCTGGCCTCTCTCTGCCTTTGGCAGGACTCACTGGGCCCCGTGGTGCCTGCACCCCTCGGCACAGGGCTGTGCAGCGCCAGACGGCCACCCACAGTCCCTACACAGGAGGCTCTGCAGGTCCCCACCTGCGCCCTTCCCCAGCTCGGTGGCTGGGTCCAGGCCCCGTGTGTGCCCGTTCACTCCCACACCGACTTTGCCAGCCCTGGTCTCTCCACAGGGGCTCTGCAGGCCTCTCACACAGGCCAACCCGAGCTCATTCTCTTCCCCTCCCCCCCGAGAAAACATTCCACTCCTTCCCTGTTCCGTCCCTTGGTGAGTCGGGAACCTGCTGGCTCCTCTGCCCTGCTCAGCCCACGCCCAGTGTCTGTTGGCCCTGTCCCTGCTGTGGGTCCTCCTCTGCCCTGCTGTGCTCCATCCAGCTCTGTGCTGCAGCCATCGGCTTACTGAAACCAGATTCACTCCCTCTCCTACCTGGACTGCCCTTGGCACGGGTCCAGCCAGGCCGGCTTCCTCCCTGCCTCAGGGCCTTTGCACATGCTCGTCTGGCTGGCCACCTCCCCTCATCGTCACGGAGCCAGCTCCCTCCACTGTTTCTTAGAGGTCTCCTCCTTGGAGGGCCTTCCCTCACCACTCTGGGTACAGCCTCTCCCCTCCACTCTCCCGTCAGTCACTGTCCGCAGGCCTGTGGCACTGTCCGATAGTCTAGTGCGTGCGCATCAGTTTGGTATCCTGCCCCGGCCAGGGCGGGACTGCTGGGTCCAGTGCAGAGCAGGGTTCAGGAAATGTCGGGGAGCGATCACAGGCTTGCTCGTCTCTACCCACCAGTCCGAGCGGCAGCCACAGGTCCCTCCCTCCCCAGGCTCCCTGCGCTGGGTGCTGCGCCCTGTGCCTGCTGCTGGCCATCCCTGCTGGTCTGTGATCTCGGCAGGTGCTCCTGCAGGCCTCGGTCTCCGCCGCTGCCCCGCCGAGGGTGGACGAGGGCTCCACCAGCTGGATTGTACTGGGAGCTTGTAGCTGTCCTTCCCGACCCTCCCGCCGGGAGGGCTGCAGTGAGCAGGGGGGCGGGGCAGGGCGCTTTTCGGGGAGCAGTTGCAACTTAAATTGGTTCCTTTGAAGAAGGTGAGAAGGGCGCAGTCCAGTCGGGCCTGAAGTGGGGACCGGGAGCCATTTCTCAGGACCGTCCTGGTGAGAGAGCCTCAGCCAAGGAGCTGGGAGGAGGGGCAGTCAGCACTCAGGCCACCCAGCTGATTCAGGGTGAGGCCTGCAGGACCCCCAAACCGGCCAAAGACCGAAGCTAGCCAAGGGGTCGCGATGTCTTCATTTTGAAAAGGCTCCTACTGAGTAAATGTGACCCACAGGGTCCTCTGACCAGGTCGGCAGTGCCAGCCACAGCCAAGTTAGGGGGTGCGCCGGCCCTGGAGTCAGGCTGCCACGGGCTTAGCTGAAGGCACCACGGCTGTTCCCCCACACACCCCAGAACTCAGTCAGGGGGAGTCCTGGTGCCATGGCCGGGGGGGTCAGCAGGCTGTGGGCTCTGGGCGGAGGGTCCAGCTCTGATCGCCCACAGAGCAGCCTGTGGTCCAGGAGTCCTTTGCGGGGGGACCCACACCCTTAGCCGGCCAGTCCGTGGACCCTGGACAGGGTTCTGGTGTAGGAGGAGGTGCTGGGGCCGGAACGGGGCTGCAGTGGGTGGGGCGCGACACCTGATGGAATGAAGGCGATGGGGACGGACCCTCAGGTTTCAGGGGCCAGTGTGTGGCCACACCTTCCCACTGGCCGGCTCCATGTCCATCCAGGCGGGGTTCCTTACCAGTTACAGGTGGTCCTTGATTCTTTACCAAGGTGGCCTGCAGCCCACTGGTGTTGATCAAAATAGCTTGTGGCGGGGAGGACGGTCCAGTCCCTAGCGGGTGCTGGGCTCCAGCCTGGCCTCCGGGGCGGCCTGTGTGTGGTCTGTCTCAGCACATGTGCTCACGCAGCCTGTGTGCGCCCGCGGCCCCCTCCCCCGCCTCCCCGCTGTCAGCAGTTCTTCAACCTCCTGTCTATTTTTAGCTCCTTCCCCAGGGCCGCTGATGCGAAGGCAGCGGCGATGCTGCTGGGTGTTGTCGGTGAATATGTCGTGCCGGGAGGGCCTGTGCGCCCCCCACGCACCCCACAGCTGCCGTGCTTTCCAGGCTAGTTACAGGAGAGGCAGCGGAGCGTGGAGCCAGGCTGCAGTCTGGACACAGGCCCGGGCCCGCCGCCTTGTCTCCCTCCAAAGACTGTCCCCTGACCATGTCCTCTGACCGCGGGGTGGGGGACGCGCCCCAGACCTCTGCCCAGGGCTGGAGAGTGGTGTGTGCGAAGGGACACGGGGGAACCACCGTGCTGGCTCCCTGGGAAGCCGGCACTTCCGACGGGTGATTTCTTGTCCTCAGCCCAGGTGTGCGAAGCCTTTTGTGTCTCCAGAAACACGACAACCAAATTGTGTCTGTATTGAAGCCAAAGCAAGTGTCCTCGAAGGTCCCAGGGAGGCGTGTGAGGACGGCAGTGCCTGTCCTGCCTGGTGAGGGGACTGCGCATGCAGAGGGTGCAGGGGCTGCTCCCGCCCTTGGCTTTGGGGACCCGGAGCCCTTCTCAAGCCGTGGCAGGTTCTGTACAACAGCAGCTTCCGTGGGTGATTTGTCCCCAGTGGCTGAGGCCTGGCTGCTCAGCCACGTCACGTGGGCAGTCTTTGTGCAGCAGGTTTGCTCTGCTCACAGAAAACCCAACTGCGGTGCGAGCCTGGCTTGTCAGGGCTCGGACCCTCGCCGGCTCGCCACGGACAGTGACTCTCGGGGGACCGGGGCCTAGACCCAGAGGCTCAGTCATCCGTCGCTGAAACGCAGGAAGGTGTTTTCCGGATCAGAAGGGGAGGTAGAGGGGAAATCGGGGCTGTGGCTCACTCGCAGTCGGCAGGCCCACTGGGAACTCGTGTCCCGTGCTGTCGGCGTGACCAGCTTCCACGGGAGTGTCGCATCCAGGCCTTGGGAGCTTCCGGGGCTGGTCACCACTGTGGTCACTGCGCGCCCACTCTCGAGGCCGGGCTGCCAGCC